AAAAAAAGACATAGTCTCACTCTGTTGCCCAGCTTGGAGTGCGGTGGTGCAATCTCAGCTCACTGCAACCTCCATCTCCCAGGTTTGAGTGATTCTTCTGCCTCAGCCTGCCAAGTAGCTGGCATTAACAGACATGCGCCACCATGCCCAGCTAAGTTTTTTTGTATTTTTAGTAGAAACGGGTTTCGCCATGTTGGCCAGGCTGTTCTCGAACTCCTGAACTCAAGTGATCCACCCACCTTGGGCTCCCAAAATGCCGGGATTACAGGTGTGACAGCCACTGCACCCAGCCTAGTAGAGAGCTTCTTTATTTCTAACTGAAAGTACTTTTGATTTATTGATACTGGCACTCAAATCTGGTTTTAATGTTTCTATCAGATATTGATGTCTGCATTATTTCATCTTATACATAATTAAGTCACAGAAAATTATCCTTTTCCTGTGTTCATGTGTCACTCTGAGTTTTCCTCAGGCATTCCCTTTTCTCATTGTTCGCCTCCAGATGATGTCCATAAAAACCTTTGTTACAAAGTGCCTTACAGTCTTGTGTACCTAGACCACCTTCTTCATATTATTTTGTTAGCATATTCTCCTTTTCACTCATAAGCCTTTGCTCAGAATTGTGTAAGTCTAACAGTAGTTACAATTATATTCAGATATTTTAATATCTGAAATATTATATTTTGGGGAAGTATAGCATTAGTTGACTTTTGGCATAAGAAAATGGAAAGGAATATCTGTAAAAGAACATACAAGAAAAAATAGGGGTAGGTTTTAGAAGGACAGCAGAGTAAAGGTAAATATGCTGTTGAAGAGAAGTAAACAACACATCCCATCTTGATTGTATTTCTTCATTCCACATGTCAGTCATGGCTCTGCATACAAGGGAATAAGCAATAATGGTGGGACAATATGTGTAAGTGGAGAAGCAGTTGGAAAATAAATACATATGAATGTTCACCGTATTTATGTATCTTACTGTATTATAAATATATGTATGTAATCACTAATACAATGAGGGTTGGGAGGCATTGATAACTGGCATTATTCTTATAGCTACATAATTATTTTGATAGTTGTTTTCTAGTGACTTATCTTTGTATATATACTTTTATTTTTATTTGGATTCATTCAGTGATTTACTTTTCCTCTATTATCATATACTATGCCCTTAGGGCTTGTTGTACATTGGCACATGAAAATTTATTATATTTGTCCTTGTGGAATTTAAGGAATAAGGAAGTAAATGGTGTAAAAGTACTGAATACACAACTGAAAAAACATATATAAGGGCAAGGCACTAGATACGGGATTAGAAATGGAAATGAAGTTATTTAGGGTCAACTAATATGCCCTTTCTGAGGGCAGGTATCTTGAGACCTTAACAAAGAAAAGAAGCTGGCATACAAAGAGACCGTTTATGTGAAATGAAATGTCCTGTGGATAGCTCTAAATGATAGGATATTTGTTTTGATCTAGGAGGTGAAAAATGATTAGCAGAATGGAGTTAAAATGAGGTGTTTTTTTTTTTTTTTTTTTGAGACAGACTCTTGCTCCACTGTCCAGGCTAGAGTCTACACAGTGGTGCAGTCTCAGCTCCCTGCAGCCTCCACTTCCTGGGTTCAAGCAATTCTTGTGCCTCAGCCTCCTGAGTAGCTGGGACTACAGGTGTGTGCCATCATGCCCGGCTGTTTGTATTTTAGTAGAGGCAGGGTTTCACCATGTTGCCCAGGCTAGTCTCAAAGTCCTGAGTTCAGGTAACCCACCTGCCTTGCCCTCTCAAAGTGCTAGGATAACAAGCATGAGCCCACATGCCCGGGCAAAATGAGGTCTTACAAACTGTACCTTGTTATTATCCTTGGTAAAGTTTATTTTTGGGGAAGAAAACCACAAAAGTGTTAGTATATATGGATTATAAAATTTTGATCTGCATTAGCATTATCTCTATAAGATGCTAATGACTAGTTCTACATCTACAGATTTTGATTCTGTTTAACCAACAAGCTTACCAGGTGATGACCAACACACAAATTTCAGATCCACTGACTTAATCAGATTCCTCATAATCTTTATGTTCTGCTGTTATTCTGTGAGCTCTCTTTATCTTTCTCCAAATTTCATAACATTTTTTAAACCAATTCATGTATATGGTGAATTATTCTTAAATTGTCTCTTCTTTCCATAACTTTTATTCTTGTAGTACATGAAAATTATTTTTTCCTTTCTTTCAGATTTGGAGTCCAGGAGTGAGACTAAGCATTTATCTGTAGGAAAAGACATTATTAAAAACACTGGTTCTCAGTGGGAGGTAATGGAAAGTAGCAAGTTACGTGGCCTTGAAAGTTCCATTTGCAGAAATGACTGGCAAAGCAAAAGCAAGATTGAAGTACAAGGATCTGAAGTGGGATATTTCAGTCAAATGAAAATCACCTCTGAAAATGTACCCACTTACAAAACTCATGAATCTCTTACGTTACCTCAGAGAACTCATGACAGTGAGAAGCCCTATGAATACAAGGAATATGAGAAGGTCTTCAGTTGTGACTTAGAGTTTGCTGAATATCAGAAAATACATACTAGTGGAAAAAACTATGCATGCAATCAATGTTGGAAAACCTTTGGGATAGACAACTCCAATATGTTACAACTGAATATTCATACTGGTGTGAAACCTTGTAAATATATGGAATATGGGAATACATGTAGTTTTTATAAAGACCTTAATGTATGCCAGAAAATTGATAATGAGAAGTTCTACAAATGTAAGGAATACAGAAGGACCTTTGGAAGAGTTGAAGAAGTTACTCCACTTCAAAGAGTTCATGACGGTGAGAAACACTTCGAATGCTCATTCTGTGGGAAATCCTTTAGAGTGCATGCCCAACTTACTCGACATCAGAAAATCCATACTGATGAGAAAACTTACAAATGTATGGAATGTAGCAAGGACTTCAGATTTCTTTCACAGCTTACCGAACATCAGAGAATTCATACTGGTGAGAAGCCCTACAAATGTATGCACTGTGAGAAGGTTTTTAGAATTAGTTCACAGCTCATTGAACATCAGAGAATTCATACTGGTGAGAAACCTTATGCATGTAAGGAATGTGGAAAGGCTTTTGGAGTATGTAGAGAACTTGCTCGTCATCAGAGAATTCATACTGGTAAGAAACCCTATGAATGCAAAGCATGTGGAAAGGTCTTTAGAAACAGTTCATCCCTGACTAGACATCAGAGGATTCATACTGGTGAAAAACCCTATAAATGTAAAGAATGTGAGAAAGCATTTGGAGTAGGTAGTGAACTTACTCGACATGAAAGAATTCACAGTGGTCAAAAGCCTTATGAATGTAAGGAGTGTGGAAAGTTCTTTAGACTTACGTCAGCCCTTATTCAACATCAAAGAATTCATAGTGGTGAGAAACCTTATGAATGTAAGGTATGTAGGAAGGCCTTTAGACATAGTTCAGCCCTTACAGAACATCAGAGAATTCATACTGGAGAAAAACCCTACGAATGCAAGGCATGTGGGAAGGCCTTTAGACATAGTTCATCCTTTACCAAACATCAGCGCATTCATACTGGTGATAAACCCTATGAATGTAAGGAATGTGGGAATTCCTTTAGTGTTGTTGGGCATCTTACGTGCCAACCAAAAATTTACACTGGTGAGAAATCATTTGACTGAAATAAATGTATAAAGTGGTTTTTTATTTCCGATTTTCACAGGAAAAAACTATGGATGGATTTAATGGGTAATCAAGGCAATTCAGTATGGCCATTCTGTATGTAGACATAGAATTGCTTAGTCATAGCTGATATATACTTATAGCTTTGTTAGATATTGCCAAATATTTCTCCTTTTTATGTTAAAAAGAGTTTTTTTCCATGAGTTTCTCATCGTGGCATGTTTTGTTTACAATAGCCTTTGATGTTTGCATTATTGTTCTTTTCACTATTCAGTTTTTTAATTGTAATATTACTTCAGTATCTTTTCTGCATTGTAATTCTTTGCTTGTGATATCTATACTTATTTTCCTCCAGAGAGTTAGAACTCCTAGACAGATATAACGTAGTTTTACATTCTTATTGCTCTTCATTTTGTGTAATGTTCTTGTTTTGTTTTGTTTTAAATGATAGAAGTGTGATCTTTCCATTTTCACCAAATTGTTCACTTCTCTTTAAATTTCTATTTTATTTTGATACAACATCTTCCCCCAAAATAACATATACATAGGAACTGGTTATATTCCACCATAACACACACACACAATATATATATATAGTGTATATATACATACAGTGTATATAGTGTATGTGCGATGTATACTATATATACTCACACATGCACTATATATATAACACATAGTATATATATACACATACTATATGTATATATAGTATATACAGTATATATGTATATATAATATATACTCTGTGTGTGTGTGTGTATAGTGTTTGTCTGTTATATTGGAATATAACCACTTACTTTAAGCAGTCTTTTTACCCACAGGCTGTACCAACCAGGATCCAAATGAAGAGAACTCTTAAATATTTGATAAAATTACTCATCCAATAAGTCTGTTAAAATTTATCATTCTCTTAAATTATCATTCTTAAATTTGTCAAACACCTTTAAAAGGGGAGGAAAAAATGACCACTGAACTTACATTAAGAGGATTTACAACTACAGCTTCAAATTTTTTTTAATCTATTACCATTATTTTTATTTTTATTCTCTCTTAGAGTTGCCTTATTAGGTTTGGGCATTTCAACAATCAACAGACCTTCTGTGATTTAACTAATCTCATTTAACTCCAAAATCATCTCTCTCTCAGGACAGCTGACTTGGTTATGCAGTCAGTGAGATCGCAAGCCACTGGTTATTGAAATTTTTTTTTTTTTTTTTTTAAACTTTTCATTTTTTTTGAGACAGAGTTTTGCTCTGTTGCCCAGGCTGGAGTGCAGTGGCGCGATCTTGGCTCACCTTAACCTCTGCCTCCCGGGTTCAAACTGTTCTCCTGCTCAGCCTCCCAATAGCTGGGATTACAGGCATGCACCACCACGCCTGGCTAATTTTGTATTTTTAGTAGAGATGGGATTTCTCCATGTTGGTCAATCTAGTCTCGAACTCCTGACCTCAGGTGATCCCCCCCACCTCAGCCTCCCAAAGTGCTGGGATTACAGGCATGAGCCACCGCACCCGGCCTGGTTATTGGATTTATTTATTTAATTTTTTTGAGATAGAGTCTTGCTCTGTCACCAGGCTGGAGTGCAGTGGCGTGATCTCAGCTCACTGCAACCTCCACCTCCCAGGTTCAAGTAATTTTCCTGCCTCAGCCTGCCAAGTAGCTGGGATTACAGGCATGTGCCACCACACCTGGCTAATTGTTTGTATTTTAGTAGACACAGAGTTTCACCATGTTGGCCAAGACAGTCTGTATCTCCTGACCTCGTGATCCGCCGGCCTTGGCCTCCCAAAGTGCTGGGATTACGGGTGTGAGCCACCATGCCTGGCCAGTTATTCGATTTTTATAAGAAAATTGTACTATTTTCAGATAAATTTATGTCACCATCATTCATTACATTTTAATTTTTGAAACTGGTGTCTTTCCCAGAATTTATGTACTCTATAAAGGTCTGAATGATTACCAATATTAAGCCATTTTCTCATCTGATATATTGAGCAATGTTTTATGTAAGTATTGCTTATTCAAGTAGTTTTAAAAGATATGTAATTGGTTGTTGTTTCATGTCCTACACAGTAAGAACAAGAGTTTTGTCAGGATATTTGCTATTTCATATCTTTGAAATAGAGTAGTAGCTCTGTTTCTAACTAAATTCTATTTATGTAACAACACAGCTAATTTACTCTTGGACCTTTTTATCCTGAGTTACCATCAGTGCTGATGTTCCTCTTTTGGGTATAGCTCTCCAGGAGAACTTGTCCTATGTTTCTTTGTGTGTGTGTTTTTCCTTCCAACTTAAACAAATTAAAACTACTAAATATCTAAACCTTGTATACAGACATTAAAATTAAAATTAGTGAGAGAAACAAAATATCCTTGTGTTTTGGCTTTTACTTTTTGAAGTCATTAACAAATGATAAATTAATGAATAAAATGTATCCTATTATGTTTTCCTTATTTGTAATTACAGCTATATTTTTATCATATTAACATTTTTCATTTAACTTTGTTATGAACTTAATGGCATTTCACACTTACTCCAAACCATAATATAATTATCGTTGTGGTATTACTGTTTGGTTTTTACTACAGTTTCTTACTCAAAAATATAAAATTTCACCATTCTTTCCATTTTCATTTGCCCCTTTATTCTTTGTGACTTTTCCCTAGCCTGCATAGGAGCTTTATTCTCATATTCAATAGGATAGGATATTGCAGTCTCATCCTGTTTTCTGCTGTCCTGCACCATTAAATTTTCTATGTCCAATGAAGGAATTCTAATTCTATTTAATAGCAACTAGTATTAAAGACTAACATACGTATGTCAGGGACAGGCAGAGAGTCTGTGATTGAGATTTCTGGAGTTATATAACCCACTGTGCCACCCCCACAAGCCCCCAACTTGCCAGAATTCATCCCTTAACCTGCAGTGTGATTGTATTTGGACATAAGGCAATGAGGATATAAGAATGTGATTCTAATTTGATACAAATGGTGATCTTACGAGAAGCGGAAGGAAAGATGTCTCTCCCTATGCTCACACACAAAGGAAAGGCCACATGAGGACACAAGGAGAAGGTGGGAATTTAGAAGCCAAGAGAGCCCTTACCAGGAATTAAACCTGCTAATCCCTATTTTAATTAGAACAGTGAGAAAATAAGTATCTGTATTTAAGCCTCACAGTCTTTGGCATTTTCTTACAGCACCCTAAGCAAACTAAGACAGTTGTTGGTACTGAGAAGTGGGGTGCTGCTGTAACAAATACCTAAAAATGTGCAAGTTCAAGCTTTGGAACTGGGTGGTGGGCATATAGGCTGGAAGAATTCTGAGGGTGGATGCTAGAAATATATATGTAAAAATGATTCTGGGGAGGACTCAAAACAAGATAGAATCACTGGAGAGAAGGCTTCCATTTTAAAGAATACTGTCATGAATGGTATTCATGTTAAAGAAACAATCATGAACAAAATGTTGGTAGAAGTATGGACATTTAAGGCCATAATGGTTTAGTCTCAGAAATGAGGAACAGTTTATTGTAGCAAGGAACTTGGCTGAATCACGTTCTAGTGTTTTGTGGAAGGTAGCGCTTCCAAGCAATGAAACTGAATAGTAGCAGAGATTTCTAATTATTGAACTTGTGGCTTGGGTTCTCTTTATTGCACATATAAAATAGGAAAGGAGAGAGTTGAATTGAAGGAGGAATTCTTAAGCAATAAGAAACTAAAATGTGAAGATTTGGGAAATTCTTAACCATACTGGGAAAAATGATGAAATGTGTATTTTGCTGTTTTGGGATAGTGTTGTGTACATGATATGTTTGTTAGATATTGTTAGTTTATAATGTTCTAGTCCTATTTCCTTCTTGATCTTCTGTGTAGATGGTCCATCCATTATTGAATGTGAAGTACTGAAGACTCCCACTATTGTAGAACTGTTTTTTTTGGTTTTTTTTTTTTTTTTTGCCTGCAACATTTTGTAGTGTTTGCTTCACTTCTTTTGGGGCTCTATTTGGTGTGTTTTTGTTTATAATTATTATATCTTTTGATGCACTGACCGTTCTATCAATATATAATGTCTTTTTTTGTCCCTTGTAAAAAAAATTTTTTTGAGACAGAGTCTCGCTCTGTCGCCCAGGCTGGAGTGCAGTGGCGGGATCTCGGCTCACTGCAAGCTCCGCCTCCCGGGTTTACGCCATTCTCCTGCCTCAGCCTCCCGAGTAGCTGGGACTACAGGCACCTGCCACCATGCCCGGCTAATTTTTTGTTTTTTTAGTAGAGACGGGGTTTCACCGTGTTAGCCAGGATGGTCTCGATCTCCTGACCTCGTGATCCGCCCATCTCAGCCTCCCAAAGTGCTGGGATTACAGGCTTGAGCCACCGCGCCGGGCCTTGTAAAAATTTTTGACTTAAAGTCTGTATTGTTTGATACTAGCATAGCCACCTACCTCTCTATCGCTTAACTATTTGCATGGAATCTTTGTCCATCCCTCTCACTTTCAACCTATTTACATTTTTGGATTTATGCTGAGTCTCTCGTGGACAGCATATCGTTGGATCATTTTTTTTTAAATCCATCTGGCAATCTCTGCCCTTTAATTGGAGAATTTAATCAATATACATTTAAATTAATTGCTTGTAAAGGATTTACTTCAGCCATATTTTAATTTGTTTTGTGTATGTCTCTTTTTGTTTCTTAATTCTCCCAGTATTGCCGCCTTTTGTGTTTAATGGATTTTTTTTTTTTTTTTTTTTTTTTTTGAGATCGAGTTTTGCTCTTGTTGCCCAGGTCAGAGCGCAATGGCCCGATCTCAGCTTGCCACAACCTCCGCCTCCCAGGTTCAAGCGATTCTTCTGCCTCAGCCTCCTGAGCAGCTGAGATTACAGGCATGTGCCAGCACGGCCGGCTAATGTTATATTTTCAGTGGAGATGTGGTTTCTCCATATTGGTCAGGCTGGTCTCAAACTCTTGACTTCAGGTGATCTGCCTGCCTCAGCCTCCCAAAGTGCTTACAGGCAGGAGCCACTGCACCTGGCCGGAATTTATTTATCATTTTGGTTCCTTTTATTTTCTGTACATTTTGTATTCAT